TCCCCGCTTCTCCCTTCTCCCGCTGCCGAGTCCCAGCTCACCCCGATCTCCCACGAGCCATCCCAGGGTGTGATCAGGGTGGGAAGTCCCTTGTGGGTGGGAGTTGGGGGGGGGGTGTGAAGCCATCACAGCTTTTAGGGGGGTTCCCCCTTGTCCCACCTCATGCCACCCCTCTTCCCCAAGTCCTGTCCTTGCCAAGCTGCTGGGCAAGAAGCAAAGGGAGAAGTTTCCCCTCATCTAGGACATGAATTGTGTCTGTTCTCAGACCTCTGGGGCACAGCCCCGCTGGCAGAAACTGGGACCCCCCTCTCTCCCCTTGGAGCTCCCCCCCCTCAAAATTGGGGGTCAAGGGTGCCTTTCCCCCCACCCCTTCCCCCTGCCCAAGCTGGTGAAGGGTCCACCCTGCCTGGTGCTCTGGTCCTTTGGGCTTGAGGAGCAGCGTGTTCCCACCCGGACACCACCACTGTGGTTATTTATTGCAGCAATAAAATTCGGAGGAGCAGCAGGTGACACTGAGGTTCTACCTTCCTTGGGGGTCTACACCGAGGGGACATGGTAGGGGGGGGACTGAGGGAGGGAGTCTGCCCTGTCCCCATCACCCATGCAGTCACAGCATGTTCTGGGTTGGCCATAACGTCCTTCACTGTGAGGCTGGAGGGTTGGGATGGGCTCCTTGGAGCTGGTCGAGTCACCACGAGGTGTCAGCAGACACCGTGACCTTCCAGCACCTCACCAGCCCTGCAGCACCCTAAATTGCTGCCTGGGGCATGGGGTGAAGCTGCTGCTGCCACACGTCCCAAGGGACCTTCTCCATGTCCCAAGGGACCTTCTCCACATCCTCATGGACCTTGTGCACCTCCCAGGGTACCCTCTTCACATCCCCATGGACCTTTTCCACATCCCCATGGACCTTGTCCCACCTCCCAGGGGACCTTCTCCACATCCCCATGGACCTTCTCCACATCCCCATGGACCTTCTCCACATCCCCATGGACCTTCTCCACGTCCCCATGCAGGGTCCTGAGCAGTCTGGGACTCCAGCCCCGTGTCTGTGCACCACAATGGCATGACCACCCCAATTCCTGGGTATTTTGGGGGACCCCAATTCCCATCTTGCATCTCAGCACATTGTACCAACCCCACCTGGGATGGGGACGGGGAAAATCGCCGGGACACGCCAGGCTGGTGGTGCTGGGTGAGGAGGGTGCTCATGGCACCCGGTGACGCCCACGGTGCTGGCGGGAAGCCCAGGCTGGTGGCTCCGGCGTCTGCTGGGGATTTTCCACTGGGAAGAAGCCTGTGAGCATGATGGTGGTCCCCCATGACCCCCATGGCAAGGGGATGTCACCACCTTGGAGCCAGGACATCCCCATCCAGCCATCCCTCCTCACTGACCCCCCAGGACCCCCCATCTCCATCCATCCAGCCCCCCATGCTCACCCCACTGCTCCCATCCCCCTGGCCATGCAGCCCACTATCCCCTGCCCTACAGTGCTGGGGGGTCCCACACAAACTGGGGGTGTCCTGGTGGGATACAGCAGAGCTGGGCAAGGCTGTGGTTGAGTCACGGTGGAGGAATCCCTCTGGGGCAAGGGCAGGGCTGGTGACTCACCTCGTTCTTTATGGGGCGAGTTGGGTGCTGTGCCTGGCTGCTCCCCTGGAATCCCAGAGATCTGGTGGGATTTGGGATGGACTTTTGGGATCTCTCCAAAAAGAACCCTCAGGGTGAGGGGCAACCAGCACCCCCAACATCTAATTTCTAGACCCCCATCTCATTTCTGGACCCCCAACATCTCATTTCTAGACCCCGAACATCTCATCTCTAGACCCTCAACAGCTCATTTCTAGACCCCCAACATCTCATTTCTAGACCTTCAACATCTCATTTCTGGACCCCCAACATCTCATCTCTAGACCCCCAACACCTCACACCTCTAGACCCTCAACAGCTCATCACTAGACCCCCAACATCTCATTTATAGACCTTCAACATCTCATTTCTAGACCCCCATCTCATTTCTAGACCCTCAACATCTCATCTCTAGACCCCCAACACCTCATTTCTAGACCCCCCCAACATCTCATTTCTAGATGCAGGTGGGCTGCAGCACATGGAAACGATTCAGGATGTGTCTCCTCCTCGTGCACGCTTCCACACAGGATCCCAGCACCTGGGTTGGGGCTCTGAGGAGTCACAACCCCCATCTTGGTCATGTTATTTCCTACCTTGGAGCTAATTGGAGCAAAGAAGAGGAAGCTGGGGGGTCACAGACATCTGTGTGGTTTTGGTACGTGGCAGCTGCACCCCTGAGTGCTTCTCCTGGAAAGTCCTGGGGCATTTTGCACGGCACCATATGGCAGATGGGGAGAAGGATGACGTGGGGTGGTGGGACAGGGATGGGGCTGCCAGGCTCTGCAGCTGGTCCCAATTTAAGGAGATCAAACCCACGTTCCTGTCCTCGTGTTCCTGGCGGGATCAGATCCGGGCACCCTGTGCCAGCTGCTAACCCAGCCCTGGTGTTGCACCAACCTTGAGGTCTCACGTGGTGCAAGATTTGCAAGATTTCAGAAAATGCCCCAAATACGTTCCCCCACGGTCCTTCTCCAGCCACCACATCTCTGGGAGAAGGAAGACAGGTTTCCTCTGCAATCACCGGAGACTGAAGGGTTGGTTGTCATCAAGATAGTCAAGACCAAGCCACCTTGGGTTTCACCAGATGAGGATGTACCCTGGCTCCCTCCTCCAAACCAAACAGGCTCTTGAGGATGGGTGGCAAACATCACTGAGGGTTTGCATGGAAAATTTGGTGCCCTCCTTGGTGTTCCCCCGTGAGGAGTCTCCTGCCAGGATGGCCACTACCCTGGAACAAGCCCTGGCCTCCAGCATTGCCACCTTCCACAAGTGCTCGGGCAAGGAAGGTGACAACTGCCAGCTGAAGAATCTACTCAGCTTCATGGAGGTGAGTGTGGGGACACCTGGGACTGAGCCCCACCAGCATCCTCACATCCCTCCCCACATCTGGGGAAGATGTGGGGGTCAGGGAAGGTCTCGCTCCTCCCTGAAACAGGTTCCTCCCATCTACTGAAACCACCAATTGTGGTTGATGCCTACCTGTGACATGGTTGGTGAGCCCCATCCTTGACCCCACTGATGCTCTCCCAGGAACAAGTGGATGAGCAGAGCTTCTGGGTGCTGCTGGAGGACCTGGAGGACAAGAACATGATGAACTTCAAGGAGTAGGTGATCTCCGCACGTTCTGCGATGACTTCTATGCTAAGGCTCATGGCCCCAGCAGCTGGCATTGAGTCCCAGCCCATGGCTTGTCTCAAACTGTTGTCACCTCCCCAGCCCCACTGCAGAGCCTGTTCATTTGCACTTGGGGCAGTGGGGTGGTCACACTTGGGACCATCTCACTTGAGGAGACTGAAGCCACCCAGAACGCTGGCGGCGTAGGGGACAGAGCAGTGATCATTTAGGGGGTACATGGGCTTGGTGACCAGCTTTCTCTGAGGAGCCCCAAAGGGATGTCCCAGCCCATCCCTTTGACTTGTACCTTGGTCTCCAGATTCCCCAGGAGCACCCAATCCCACCCACTTCCTGCTAACGAGATCACACAGTTCGTTAGGCAAAAATGAGGCGCGGGTGAAACCACCTGCATGGAGCTGCTGGGAGAGCCTGGAGGCGAGGGGGGCTGCGTGGGGCACGTGGGGCTGTGTCACCCCAGCTGGGTTATAAATACTCACCGTGCTCCGGCTGCAGCACCCCGGCTCCTCGCTGCTGCCTGATCCACAACTGACCCCGGTGAGTCTCTGCTCCCCTTCCTCATCATCGCCCCGGACGCAGCTTTGCTCTTCACCAGCAGTTGCTCTGCACCCCAAAAACACCTCCTGAGAGGTGGAAGCTGCTCCTTTCATAGAATCATTGAATGATTTGGGTTGGAAGGGA